GGGGGGGGGGAGGATCAGGCAATACGTTTGAACAGAACAAAGTGTTATTTTGCTCCTGGGCTCCCAATCCAACCTTTGGAACGTACATTTACACAAAATAGTAAGAAGAGGTAAGCACTGAGATAGTTGCTTCTCTGGCTTGGTGGTCACAAGCGCCAGCTCAGCTCTTAAATTCAGTCACGTCTTTTCTTTTGTCGTGATATGTAGCATGGGGGGGGTTCGTAGAGCTCTCACGGGAGCTATTGTAACAACAAACTTAGCTGCGTTAGGCCTACGGCGAGTTTGCCTATAACCAAAATTAGCTTACACCTTTCGGGGTTGTAAACCCATTAAGTTGTGGAGAGCCCGACGAGATGACACGTCAAAGGGAAATATACAGTAAACATAAAATAGGTGGAAGTATACGACAGGTGTTGAATAAGTTTCAGAGAGAAAAGTGTTGTTTTGTGTGTGTGGGTGTGGGGTTGTTTCGGGGTTGTTTTTTCTTCGGAATATTAACAAGGAGCAAGTCGTGCACAACGGTTTACAGTTAACGTACGAATGAACAATCCGCCCAGCTGCTGCTAGCACACTGCGCTTCGTCTCTGCTTTGTTGCTATCACTGAAATTCTTTTTGATGAGAATTGTCGCAGTGAACTGCTGCTGAAATCGTTACAGTCGTTGCACCTACTGAAGTCGACTATTGCAGGTCGTATTACTCTATTGGTGTAGTCGATTTGGTTACTGCAACAATGATTCTGGTTATTAAGACAAAGCTTTTAGCTGAAGGTATTGACTATGACTCTGACAACTGTCCTTGCAGAGCCCGTTTAATCCTCAACTTTGTTATAAACTAGTCGTCAAGTTGTGTGCATGTATACTTTTCTCATTGTCTGTTATTTTAGTAAGTTTACAGCGGTGGCGATTACTTATATTCCTGTTAATGCTCCGAATATTCCGAATATGAAACACCTGGCCCCTTCCACTGGGTCACAAAAACATCATCATCATACAAAAACATACTTAAATCTAAACCCGTTACCATTTTGACTGCCCATCCCAGAAAAAGACTACTAGCACGGAGGGGAAAAAAACAAAATAACTTGAAACCCACCACGCCCAAATTTCATACCTTTTCGACAGAACAGCTCGGGAAGGATAAACTCTCACTAATAGACCAAGAGGATTCCACCTGCCTTTTTCCCGCAAACACTTGAAAGCTCCTTGCCACAAAACATCTTGCATCCACCTGACATCACAAGACTGGGGAGTATTTCTCTACATACCTCCCCACCCCTTTCCTATACAGTATGGTCTCGGATTTTACAGGAATCTACACATTTTGAAAGCTGTAAGTTGCAAAATCAATAGAGTTGGCCTGAAAACTGCACAATAGCGCCGCAACATGCCGGTTGCGTGGAACGGATTTCGTTGGAAAGACCATTTGGACTTGAGATAGAGTAAAATACAATGCTGAACGACCAATTACGTTTATATTCCAGGAGATCGATCAATACTGGTCTGGGCTTTCATGGCACTTCTATACATAATCTTTCAACGTCACAAATAATTCAGCTGGACAGGAATTACGACAGTATTAAGAGTTTTGGATGGCTGAATCCAAGTTAAATTAAGACGGGGCCCTGCGACCCCCAGCAATTGCGTTGAATTACTGAAATACGGTATCAAGTCCTTATGAAATGTTGACTAATTATAAAGGACACCATTGAAATACAACTCTCTCAATGGGATTAAGTAGTCATAAACACGTAAAATAAAATTTAAAAACAAACAATCAAGAAAGCCTGCAAAAGCATGGTCTAACTCTAAATACTCAGAGACGTGAGCTCATTTGAAGTTCACAGTAAGTTGGAACGATAACGATTACATTTCGCCCAGATATTGACAATGTCAAGAATATCACTGAGAGGAAAACAAACCCGCATCTGTGGGTGAGTCTCTTTGCCGCTGCACCCAGAAGATGTGAGGTAAGGGAAAGCTATTTATTGAGTATCTCCATTTATCTATGTACTGGGATGTTGCATCCAGCTCAGCCCAGGAAAGCCCGAATGGTCGGAACAAAGTAGACGGGGGCGTACAAACGTTATCAAAAAATAATAAAATTAAAATAATAATCAATAGCCTAGAGCGCAAGGGCCCACAAACCATCCACAGGACAGAAACTGGTTAGACTGTCGTGTCACCACAGAGGACAAACCCAGAGGTTCCATACACAGCACTTGGGCTGAGAGAGGAGGGCGGTGCGGGCGTTTGCTTGAGTAAAGAGAAGCCTACTGACGTAATAACAATCATTTTGAGCAAGGGAAAAGCAATACAGATAGAAACAACAGATGGGGAGCAAAAAAAGCAGGACCTGCCAGTGGCGCCCTCAAACCATCTGCCGGGAGGAAAGGGAGGGAGGAGGAGGAGGGGGGAGGAGGGGAAGGAGGAGAGGAAGGAGGAGGGGGAGGAGGAGGGAGAAAAGGGGGGAAAGAGAGGAAAGAGAGGAAAGAGAGGAAAGGGGATGGGGAAGGATAGGGAGGGAGGCAGGACGGGGAGTGGGAGGATAGGGAGGGAGGCAGGACGGGGAGTGGGGCGGAGGGGGCAGGAAAGTAGAACAACCAATAAGGAACACACAACCTGCCAAGCCAGACAACAGCAGCCATCTTACCTGGAATTAAGGCCACCAGCTCCCCGTCCGCCCCGGGGGATTTCCTAGCAGAGACCACGTGTCTCCGGCGAGTTCCTTCGAACACCACAAAGTATTTACTCTCCACTCCACTCAGCTGTTGCGGGTCTAACCGAATAAACAAGGTGTCGCCTCCCTGGAAACACACAAGAGGGGATACAGTATGTAACTCGTGTTTATTTGAATTACTTTCAGTGAGAGGTTGTTACACTTACGTAAGATGAATAGGCACTATTGACCATTTAATTATTGATACCAAAGATTGCGACATAAGAATTTTTGCTAAAATTATAATGTAATGAGGGACAGACACAACTAGGGCATTGAGGAATCAAATAAAATACGCGTGTGTCTGTGTGTGAGGGGGGGGGGGTCTGAAAAGCATAGGTACAGAACATAAAATGCACATAAACTAACATAATAATTATATGTCGATCTTGCGAATGCTGCATCATCATCCTGACTCAGCACGGCCTAGTACAAGAAC